AATCACTGAATTGGCTGGTACCGCAACGCGACCGCGGACGCTAGCGAATCGCGCGATTCGCAAAGTCTGACATCGGCCTAAAGAACTGACCGGCTGGTGGCGATTGCTAAAGAACTGACTGGCTGGTGGCGATTAACTCGTGCTTTACTGGAAGACTTCTTTTCGGTCCATTTTAGGATCCTTGGCTCTTGAGCGCCTCATACGCAGAGGTATAAGTTTAGTGCGCGGTGAGCTACCAGTACCCCGAAATCATCCCTTTATGAGTGAAGACTCTGAGGTACCCTGAAGCAGTCGACTCATTTACACTTATCTGGCTTTTTCATCCGCTTTGCCTTCACATCCTTGACAGAAGATTTCAAAATAACCCGTGCAACAGCTAACTGAGGACCTCTTTAAAGGAGTGATTATGAAGCTAGCGAAGGAGATAATACCACTCGCGGGGTGTTCTGCCACGCGGCATCAACCATGTAACCCTCCTGGTGACATGGGGCAAATCCACTTTACTTGAAAAGATAAATTCTGAATCTATCTAGAACTACATTCAAAACCCTATACTCGAATACTTTCATACTTTCACCTTGCGACTGAACACTGACGGAAAGTTACTTGTTCGTATCATACACGATCGTCACAAATGATCGACTTAAAGTCGACGGAGATGGCAATCTGAGGATTCACTCAGCCGCATTCGCAGCTGTTTTACGTGGCTGACGAGGCATCCTCTCGCCCTCTGGACCGTGGAAGTCCTACGGAAACCTCCTCATTTGTTTATGATTTCCGTGACTAACTTTCTACTCCTCTTACCCAGTTCCACTTTCCCCACCTTCTTGGATCTTGCAATCTACTGGAAGACCACCATTGAAACACTTGAGCGCCTACCTTTTGTATGAGGCAGCCAGCTGTGTCTGCAATGCAGACTTAGCACTATACCATACGGCTTAAAATCGCGAACTACTGTTTCTGCAGAATAGGAATAATACAAGTGGTGGAGGTCCTGAGATTCCAATGTCATAAGCTTTTCGATGCTATTGATTATTTTAGACCTTATGGTATGGTGCTAAGTCGCATTGCAGATGCACAGGACTGCAAAATAAAAAGGGAACTTGATCTAGGACGAGGTTGTGGGGCAGGACGGGTGCATTTGAAACTGTGGGGTTAAAGCCAAGCGCACGGCGCTGTCCAAGGTCGTCATAAAGGGAAGCAACCAAATGAGATATGAGTGATTAGTTTCTATCATATTAATTATTATAACACGAATCATTATAAATAAAAGAAGATCACGTGCTCGATGCACTCCGTGAGAAGAAAATCCTCTAAACATTTATCTTGATTTTTGCTCTTGTACCTCACAGAACTATGTTGTCCTTTTACTGTGCCACAGGCGTACTTCGCAAATGATTACCTATTTCAGAAGGTGGTTTTCCAATCGACATTCGAAGCGTCCAACTAGATCACGAATTTCTCGGTGCGGACTCACTTCGAGCTCTCTTTCGTCGACTGAACACGTTGAATCGATGTGCGATCATGCGCATTGATCAAGTGGTGCTAAGACGGAGGGTGAGTGTTTCAGCTGTCACCACAACTTTACAAAATGTGGTCATTGAGTGCTCCCATGTTCAGCTAATCATTCGAGAAATCCGCTTGACCGGTCGCTATTTGGCTCTTGAGCTATTTCATATCTTCCAAAGTTCGGCGTAAAGCCATGATGATTTAGGTCTTTGAAGAAAAGGCAGAATATGTATAATGAAAAAATTAAGTGGGTCAGGCATGAGTAGATTCAAGTGTCCCATCTATCACCAGCGCGGTTTTAGGATGATCAGAGCTAGATTGGCGCTTGCAAACCAAAGTGATTTATTGGTTTGATGGGCGGAGTGGTGTAGTGGTAATGAGGCGGTTTCACGCACACATCCGGGTACCAATCAGGTACGTTGCACGCGCCATGGTCACCGAGTCTCCCATCCTCCGAGTGGTGAATTGCAAAACGTCGAGTGGGAAGTAAAATATTCTCTAGCGATTACCTCGTCCTACAGAGGCAAAGTGTCCTTCAAAATGCTTCTACGATACTTAGGAGGGAAGTGGGATGCGTGGCGCATCCCGGAAAAGAAATGAGCAACGCCGAATGCTCAACCATTTTTATCCTTCTATCGGGAAGCGGTGAATTGTGACTATCAATGTCACATCGGAGGTACCCTAACTTCTCGGAGAATCACTCCAGAGATCCCTCCTATTTGATTAGTCCACCAAGGCTCTGCTCGGAAGGTACAACCAGCAGGATTTCAGGTTTGGTCTGTACGAATTAGCTATATAAAAAAGAAATGGGTTGCGAATAATTACATCGCGCATGGACAAGTGCGAATGACTCGTAACCAAGCACTTAAACCATCGTTGTTTCAGAACGACGACTACGGCGGCTGCGGGATGTACGACGCTTTCGAAGACGATGACAGTGTGAGTGCAGCTCTTTTTTTTCTCTCATGGGTGTTTGCCAGTCAATTGTAGGCAGTCAAAATCTCAGAGAACAATGATTCCCTTAAGAAGCCACTCCACATTAAGCGTTTCTGCCATAGAAGAGTGGAGGTTCCGTCGAAGAAGAACACATTGAGCAACTTCACAAATTGACGGTCACTGCTTCCCGCCCTCTTCTTTACCCCACCCCCAAAAACAAAAGCAAACTGGTGCGACCGGAAATTGATTCGTTTTGGAACGTTTAATTGAATGAGCGTGCGATTGCGATGTGATTTAGTATCTGTTCCCTGTAATTGAATTGTGGTCGAGTAAGTCAATCAAGTAAGGGTCAGAGCGAGCGACAATACGGCAATAGTGTAATAGGGTGGTGAGTCTTCCACATCCTTCAGTGGTTGATGATGATTCGCTTATCCAGTGTCGTTCACGGTCAAGTTCTGCAACGAACCTGGGCCCAGATATGGTCGCGCTCCTTGCCGTCATGATCCGCTCCCATATTACATCATCATTTCCGCATGTGTTCATCCGCTGCCTTTGAAAGGTGCAATGTATTGGTAATTCAGAAAAAAAGGAGCAGAAAAATTTCATAAGGAAATCTAAATTGCATATTTCTGCTGGTAACTTCCACAATGTTTTGGTTTTGTGCAGTGAGCTGGTGAAGCATTGGAGCCGTTTATCATGTCCAAGTGCTCGTAGGTCAGTTCGCGATCGAGTTCGCTCAGCCTTCATATTCAGGTCATATTGAAGGTGTGAGCCACGACATAAGGCAGCGTTCAGTGTAAGCAAGGTAGGAGATAGTCTGGTGCGAGATAAGAGGAACCATGAGAAACGGTCTAGAACCGAATGGGACCCCTTTCTTGCTTGTTGTTTCCGCACTGATGCGACTCTCATAGGTGTTGCCCTCTTCAACGCTAACGCTCTCTTTCTCTCTGCCAAACGGCTAGCGATCTGCGGCGAGTGGTTGGCCAGTCTATGGACGTGGCGTGCCGGAGGCGCCGCAGAGAGGCCATGCTGGATCGCCGGAAGCATATTCTTCGCACAGTGAAATTCGTGGTGGTCCGCACCCTTCGGGTGTTTGAGGGGCCCTGGGGGTTTTCTTTTCCAAAACTATGTAGGGCTTCTTCTTCTTTGGCTTCGACCGTTATTGTGAAATCCTTCAAAGGGTATCCCTTGTCAAACATTTTCTTGCACATCGGGGTTGGCCCCAGTCAAGTCAATAGGTAAACCAAACCGCATTCGAATTCCACCGTAATTCTGAATTCAAGAGCAGGGCGCAAGTAGTTCTGGGTAGAATGCACACCCTGAAAATAAAATCCGAAAAGGTGAATTCTTAAGAGGACTGACGCTAAGTGCTTATTCTTCATCCTTCTTACGACGTGGCTTAAAAGTCAGCATCTCAAAGAGAGTATACCCTGGAGCAGAAATGGCAAAGGGAGAGCCAACCGACAGGTTGCGCTGATTCAGAATTCTCCACGACTCCTTGAGAGAGATCGACCGGTCACTCCCTCGCTCGCCACCATGACGTTTTATTCTAGACCAAAGTACACTCCAAATCCACCACTCCACCAGAGTGTCATCCAAAGATGCCTCAGCGGGGTGACTCTGATTCCAGACAATAGATATATGTAATTGGAGGCTCGGAATAACGGTCAATAAAGATATTTTCGACTTTTTCTTTTGAATGGGGGAACCCTGTCGATAACGATCGGTCGCCTTAAAAATGGCCCTCCAATTTCGCCAACACGAGCCCCACTAAAAGTCCTCAATACGGATCCATCCTTCCTTACCACAACCACAGTACTCCAACCTGAAATGCGACCTGCGTCGATCTTTGCTTAGTGGACGGTTGTCCCTAGCAGGGAGTGCAAGGAATGTCGCTTAGCTCATGGCGGGCTAGTGAAATTGGCATTGCACAGAGTGACGGGGTCGATGAAGGTGGTACTAGGGCAGACCACTCCTGAAATGTTCCTCGATGAGCAGAATCAGGTACTCTTCTTTGTAACCATTGTCGTCAAAAGCATCGGCGTCCAAGAACGACTTCCTCTTGATCTTGGCGTTGTAGCCTGTCCAAGATTTTCAGCACTTTTATCAAGGAATCTTAAAGGAATCTTCCACGGAAAAAGCTCCGCCCTCATTACCACAGAAAACGATACCTTAAAGGAATCTTCCACGGAAAGAGTGATCATTTTGTCTTGTGTGTAGGATTAGTATTATCGAAACTAACGCTTATGTTCCGTTCTTTTTGCTATGCTCATGAGGCTAGGGGCCTAAGGGGTATCGTTTTTCTGTGGTAATGGAGGCGGAGCTTTTTCCGCGGAAGATTCCTTTAAGCTAACGTCCCGGCTCTACGCCCTTGCCAGAGCCTGAAATGTTGAAAAGCAATTGAAACCGATCCCTTCATGAGCCAAACATGGTCCAAAACGCATAAGCGTCCGTTCCGATCCTGACGTTCTGACAAAATGAATCAATGCCTAAAGTGAGCCTCATAGTACGCAATTACTCTGTGACAGAAGCTCCTCTAGTGGTACACTATGTACAGGGAGACATCATGCTCACTCCACGCTCCCCCTGGATGTGTGGTTCGATATACGGACCAGCTTACAGAATTTTGAATGTTTGAATTTCAATATTGTCACCCTGCTATGTCTGTTCGCCATTCACGTGAAGTGGAGGAGAGTCACTGTTCGCGAACATGGCACAGTCCTCCGCTCGCTTGATGAATCCAATCCAGCTCAAATTTTTACCAAAAAACAGGTCTCCCCGTTTGGAACGGCCTCTGCCAGCTAATACTACCATTTGTACATGTATGCAATTCTACAAGAATCTTCAACGATGTTATAAAGGCGTAGTGATTCATGGAGCGCTCCCTGCTTATACGTTGACGCATCATCGTCTAGACGAATTCGGCGTATAACACAGCGAACACGGATCATGAGAGAGATAGCACGCTGCGCCTCTACCACATTACACATGGCTCGTAGTTTTTCCTTTGATCATCTTGATGTATGGAGCCGTTCAATCACCATCATTTTCTTATCGACCTTTCTATTGCAACTTTTGAAATATCCGGACAGACATCGAGCTTCATTCTTTTTTAAGGGCTTGTCATAGCATTACAACTTCTCGTGGCAGTCCTTTGGGTTTCCTGCTCTCCCTGTCGACCTTTCGCTCAGTTTCTACGCTGCGCACGACCTTTTGCACCACTTTTGTTTGTTTTCCGTTGGTATGAGTCAGCATCATCGGAAAACTATCTAAATATTTCATCAGACCTCAAATAATTTTCTTGCATTCCGCACGCTTGTAGGGCCCCTCTGTGGAACGCATAACTACTCAATCTCTTCAAATCGCCTAGTTATAGCTCACTAATGATCACCAGAATTATTGAGAGGTGAAGCCATAAGAGTACTACTTCCTGAGCAACTAATAAAAAGAATGCATATATTTTGGTCAGTAACCGTAGAGACCATCGTCTCTTCAATATTCGCTTACACTGGAGAAGGTAATTACGTTGTCGAAAACATTTGTATTCACTCAGTGATTTCTGATAAAGTCTCTAAGCTAGTTCTGATTGTGTTTGATTGCTTATTCAGCCCATTTAGTGAACTACATCGTTTAGGGTGGGGTCCGGGAGGGGTAGTTTGCCCAGGCACTGGGCGCCCTGGAGCCAAAGGTTTTCGTTTCATGTTCGTGAGGGCCAAGTTTTGCTCATAACGCACGGTGGTGAAACTTCTAGGCTGGTGTTTTTACCATGTCCTGCTAGCGGGTCCAGCTCATTTAATAGCACTTTGCATTATGAATTCAGGTGGATCATCCTCACCAAGGCACTAGAAATTTCGGTAATGCGCACAGAACGCCTCAACCCGCAAATCCCGCCTCCGTCGCTGATACCGTTGTGTTGTTCTGTGCGCCCACGCTTCTACTTTATGGTCTCATTCCTTCGTGGTAGCCAATTCGCTCACCACACAGTGCCTCTCAGTGCTCAAGTTGGGCGAATGTCTGTCCTTCAGGACAAGCAAGGCCGCTTTCTTGTTTTTCGGTCACTGGGGGGGGCGGAATCCCTTTGTACCTCAATACATATATAAGAAAATAATAATGCAGTAATTGCTTCAAATACTAGATTGATAGCAACTACTATAATCAAGGGGATTAGTTTCTGTGCCTAGCCCCAGGAACGCAACGACCCGCTAGAGAGAACTTTCCAACTCTACTACAGATTTAGACGAGTTGCTACATGGCAAAGAAGGGTCTTACTATCAGTCGGGATGAAACACAAGTCATGACGAAGTTCGAGCCTGTTTTTCCCCGATTTTGATATAGTTTCGTGCGCGAGAACTCGTTTGATCACCGAGTTTCTTCGCATTGTTCTCGCACAGTCAATGTAATTAAGTGGAAAAAGGATGCCTTGTTTCAAGAGTTCTCAAGGGGTTGCTTGGATGTTTTCTTTGTGGATAAACCAGTTAGCAGCTCTGTTTTCGTATTTAAGCGCGGTGACCCTTACCTAGGCCATTGTGGAATGTGTCTTTGAGTGAAATATGAGTTTCATCTCCATGGAACTGGCTTATTCACTCAATCTATATTATTGATCGATTTAACCCAATTTTTCAGATAGCACTGTCTGGTAATTGGCGTTATCAACGTCACTCACACACGTGGTCCAGAGTTGGTAACGAGCAGATGTATGGTGTTCCAGGCAGAACCGGTAAGTGGGCAATGAGTATTTCTTTCAGGAATATCCTTTCCAAAAATGATTCTCTCGATTGGTATCTGTCGGTAGCGCACAGCCCTACCAGCACCCAACTGAGTCACTGTCCGACCTTGATCCCTCTGTCGGCTTCCTAGCACAATTATGGCGCCGCTACCTCCCACCCATAACTGAATTTTCACTGAACCGATGCAGAGACTTCAAAGTTGGACCCGCCAACGCTAGAACCACCGCGCCACTTTCTAAAGGCAAGCTTCGTCCTTCAATGACAACTTTCCCCTTATTCGCTGCCGAATCTTTGAGGTTAAGGCAATGAGCGGCGATGGGTGTTGGGAAGGCAAATTGACAGATGATTTGTGCTGCATCTGGAATCGTAGCTGTTTGTAAGTAGATCCTCGCTCGTTTGGGTAGTTTCGTACTTGTCAAAAGTACGGTACGATGCCTCACCAATCAGGCAATGCTCGCCTTGGTCCCCCTTTCAGGCCCCAAAATTTTTTACAATTGCAATATTTTTTGGCTGATGCGCCGTTTAATTCGGCTACTCTTCTCTATCACACTTTTGCCCCTTGAATTCGTCTACGTAGAAGCCTGTTGAACCGTACGATATTTCTGCGGTCACGCTCCTTGTTGGAGACTTACAACGATTGACTGGGAGGCTCTGGCTTGAGCACCCGGTTTTGGGACATTCATCCCCTTTCCTCGAAGTCATTCGCATCCAATCCAGATATGTTATCTTAATCAGCGCTTCGATCTACCATTTTTCCATGAGTAAGCTGCATGAAAGCTAAAAGCGAATTCCTGGCTAACGCAGTACCAATTACTGATACTTTTCACATGCGGTAGACAGGTTCTTCCATCCTTGTGCAAAAATTCCTTCTACCTGAGCGATGCTTTCGGTTTATAGGACTTCTGCAATCTTAATGACTTTGAATTGGCTGGAAACCGCCCACTTCTGGGCCCGACACACTCACTGTGGGCGGGCTTTCGCTTCGCTGAATCCTCTAGTTTCACAAAAGCTCTGCCTGTCCTGAACTATCAAGACAATGTAGTAAGCATAGTGAGCACTTCTTCAGCGGACCCTTCATGTTTCCCTCATGATGGCCCAGGGTTTGCACAAAATGATGCTAACTCCGTAATTGGCCTTGCTGAACTTCAACCGTGCTCTTTCTCTGTGTGGTCATGCGGAACTGGGGTGCATACAGTAGCGGTCAAAAGTGTTCGCCGAAACGATTTTCAGTGCATTATTTTTTCTCGCTTGAGCAACGCCCTCCAAAGATTGATACTATGTTTTCTAGTGTTTTTATATCCTCAAGTCTTAAAGAATCAGGATATTCAAAAGAAAAATTTTCGAGGTCACCATTGATTTTTTCTGGCAAAAAAAGGAAGCACGAAAAACCGTTTCGGCGAACACTTTTGACCGCTACTGTACATCGCTGCTATCACTCTGATATACTATTGTATGTATATGAGATAAGGCCGATGTCAGACTTTGCGAATCGCGCGATTCGCTAGCGTCTGCGGTCGCGTCGCGGCCAGTGAATCACTCAATTGGCTGGTACCGCAACGCGACCGCGGACGCTAGCGAATCGCGCGATTCGCAAAGTCTGACATCGGCCTAAGGAATGAAGCAGTCCCCTTTGTCACATACCTCTAGCACTTGAAGTTTTCCTTGCATCAGCTCACTTCACACTTTGCGTAATTCGCACCAGTGGGAGACTATTACTCGGATTAGTGTTGATTTTGTCCTTATCAATCGATAATGAACAGTTCAAGGATTCCATTCGGCGTGCATTTTAAACGTGTTGTTTATAGTATGTCCGAAACCAAACTGGGATTCGTATCGGGACCAGTTGGACCCACGCCGCTACGAAGTGCGAGAAGTGCGTGACCCGTACGCTGGCAAACGAAGTGGTCGACAACTCGAGCGGTATGATGATCGGCCCGAATGCAACGGAAATGCGTAAGTGAACATGAATAAATATGAACGTTTTCTAGATATACTGTAATTCCATCGACAACAGCTCAGCCCTAAGCATTTAGTCGATGGTATCAACCATTTCCCATCAAAAGGGATCACCCCATTCTGCGGAGTCGAACGTATGAATCCTGGTTCCTAGCTACGTTTCGTTTGTCAAATGATTTCCGAGACTAGAAAAAAAAGAAAACTGAGAATTCACCCATCACTATGGCATAAATCTTTGCACATTTGAATCATTGGGTCCTTCTACGGCTAATCGACAATTGATCCGTTTTTGTTTTCTTAAAAATTCAAACTGAAAAAATAATGAAAGAAAATGAGAAAATTAAGATTTTTCTTCAAATTAAAGGTCAAATTGTTCGATGAGATTGACTGACTTTTATATTCTGGCGCCGGTGGGAAGTTTACATTTGTTATTAAGTATTTAGACATGCCTGCATTGGTGGCAGGCGTCCAGTGATATTTTACAGTAATGAAATACAACTTCTTGTTCTTCGCCAGAAAGGGGAATGGCTCGAAGTGGCCCATGTTAATGAGGAAGGGCTGAACCGTCGGGTTTTGAATGCTGATCTGGACTCTGCTTCCAAATGCTGCTGTAGATTTATCTGAACCGAGTATGCAGCATAATATTATATCCCCCCCCGATAAAAGTCGGGTCACAGCGAGAGGTGTACGATCGAGGTCCTGAAGTGTGATTTTGCTAAAAATTGGTCCGAGGGACATAAATTATCTTCGGAATACGAACACCACACCTTTCCAGCCATGCTACCGCGAAGAAAAGAGGAACGTGAGAGAATCTATCCCAGGACCTCCCGCGCGCGGTCCTCTACCGCTGCGGTATTTTGCTTCGTTCAGAAAATCCATTCAGCAAAATCGATTTGCAGTTTTGGAAAGCAATTTGCCAACATCCTTTCCTGATATATACAGTCTATGCACCTATGCGAAGGAAAAATGAAAGAAACCATTCAGCAGTTTCTTGCATTTTTTTGAAGCAGGTTGCTTTCAAAAGGCAGACTACCTCATTTTATTGACACTTCCAACATTTGCATTAATAGATCGATGAAATCTTTAGTGTAAGTATAAAACAGTTAATGGGGCAGTTTTGAGACAACTACCGCGAGATCCGCAGTACCCTCGCCACAAGATCAACTGGGGCAGGTGCTGAACATCGCTGTTTACTAATCGCGGATCCCAGGCATTGGCACTCTGTTTTAGATCTATAACAACTTGCTCATAGCCAAGCTCTTCTACTGCGAAGATTCCGTGTAGCTATTTCAGAGCCCAGAACAAGTTGCAGCGCTCACATAGCGAACGGATCAAAGAACGTGCACGAGCCATCATGAAGAAAATGGACCTTACGTTCCAGCAGTCGGTGTTTTTTTTTTTCAGATTTTTAGCTCATGTTTTAGACTTTAAGGCGACAAGATTGAAGAGCATTTAGTCCTGCTGCTCCTCAGTTGTCGTTAAATGTGCAACAAAGCAGGAAACACCAGCGGTAGATGCAAAAAAGGGGAAATGATGGTTTCAGCATTTCCCCAAGCTCTTTTAGACAATCTAAAGACTTATTTTTTACGCAGTACTTGGCGAAGCGTGCTGGTTTAGCACTAGGAGTGAATGGGTCATTTTTCTCTCGTGATCTACAATCTTCGAAAGTGGCGTACTCTCCCCACTATCGCGATTTCTTTCTGAGCCTATTCCTCACTTTCTCGCACAAGAATAAGCATCGATCGTGCTCATTCTCCAATTCTAGGTTGGCACATGTTTGCGGCTGTGCGCAAAAGGCACCATAGGAATAAATCCGCTGAAAATGTTGCGCTTAAGCCGCCTCATCACAATGTGCCCATGATCGGTTCTCTCAAGCGGGAGGCGTTTACGCCATGAATTTGCTGGCTGATCGTGTGATATGTGATCATTAAATATTCGATGTTTGAGAAAGAGACTCTGTGTGTGGAAGATTCCTCTGTCATCTAGAAATGATCAGATGGCATTGTATGAGATAGACGTAGACAGAGCAGAGGGGGGGCGTTACAGAAATTAGGGCTCTCCGTTGGGAGCACAACGCCATTAATTCCATCATTAATTGTGAGACTATCACCTTTGCTTCCTGTACTAAATGAACAACAGACGCAGCTCTCCTTCTTGCGTCGCTAGGTATGTGTATCGTTAGGTCCCGATTCGACTCGCATTTGCTGAGTACTGCGCGCGGCTCAATCTCCTGGCACTATGTATGTTGTGGAGGCTACAACTAATTCCAGTGCATTTCAGACGGCGCAAGGATTCACGCCACCGTGAGCCGACGACTATGGTGATCGGCGATCCTGTGTTGGTCTCATATGACTCAGCGAGCCCTGAGTCGATGAGGATGCTGCCCCGCTCCAACCACTCCGATGGTACATAGTTGTTTTTCCCTTCAAACTTATCAGTTGAAGCGTAGTACCGGACCTATGTACACGGCGAAACCCAGCTTGACGTATAACTGGTGATCGATGAAGTTACAATTAATTTTAGGTACACAGATAGCCCCTTATGAGTTGCTTCATGCAGTAACTGTCAAAAGTGTTCGCAAGACAAGGGTTTTTGTGCATTATTTCTCTTTTGATCAATTTACTTGAAATACTGATATGCTATGTCTTCTAGCCACTTTGAATCCTTGTGTGAAGATATTTAAAAAAAAGTCTCAAATCTTCGAGTTATGAATAAAGGAAAAAGTCTCAACTTAAAGGCATCACACAGGAACTTTTTTTCTTCTTCTTCGCAAAGAATGCGTTGCCTGTAATCAACAGAGACAATGTACCGATTTTCATGGATGAAAACTCAAATTCCGAATCAGAGGAGTTCTGGAGAACCACATTTTGTGAACGTTTCACGGACACCTGGCGCGAGCTAAAAGGGCTTATAGAACAAAGGGCGTGATGAAAGCGGCCACGTAAAAGCTGACTTTCGTGAAAAGAGTAAAATTACGATATGTAATCTAAATCGGAGAGTTTTGGTGAAAAGGATTTGAATGCAAGACTTCTCAAAAGATTTTCGGAAAATTTCTTGATGTCTACCCCACCCTATGAATAGGAACAATATTTGTTACAGTTCAAGAATTGCAAGAAAAAGAAATCAAGAATCAAGAATTTGGACGAGAATCTGTATTTCTTCGGGCTATTTAACATAACAAACAATTTTCTACTCTTCCTTATTGTGAAGGATGCGTCTGGAACAATCGATTCATAAGAACGATAAAATCATGTTGTAGCCGTGAACAGTGTCTTAAAGGACGAATTCACGATGAAAAAGCAACCCATTTCAAATTAACCTGGTGAGTGGTACACGAAAGAAGGAAGAACCATGAGAAACGGCCCAGAACCCGAGAAATGGGACCCCTTCCTTGCCCGTTGATTTGAGCATTGATGCGACTCTCATCGCTGTGCCCTCTTCAACACTACGCTCTCTCAGCTATCTAATCACTCGCCACGTATTGAACTACGGCGAGTGATCAGATGATCGGTGGGCGGAGATCGCCGGACCCGCCAGCTTTGAGGCATGATAGGTCGCCGAGGTCAAATTTTTCCATGCGAATTGCGCGTCAGTTCGCACCCTCAGGAGGTCCGTGGGTGAACGCTGGTTCTTCG